GGCCAGGTGACTACCTCTGATTTTAACTCCGTGTTTTCTCTCCCCTGAAAACTCTTCCTACTAACTTCATTAAAATTTTCTGGAATTTTAGTTACAGATTGTCTTTTTGTGGTTCTTTTCACATTTCCCCACCAATTCTCTCTAAACAATTGCTTTAGTCTTTATAGCCACATTTGAAAAATACTAAAGACTTGATTGTAAGTTCTAATAGTGTTCACTTTAATGGCAGTTTTTTGTAGTCTACATCTATTCTATCAATTATTTCTTATGCTTTATCTTTAAAAAATATAAAACTTTATGAAGATATAATTCATATATTATACGATCACCCTTTAAAAGGGTACAACACAGTGGTGTTAGTATATTTACAAAATTGTGTAATCATCATGCATTATCTTTTAACTGGAGAACTTCATTAAGAAAATTTTCAGTGTTATGTTTTCATACATTCCTCTCAGATTTCTGGGATGGGTTTAGATTTATTAAGTTATATAAACCTTTCCCTCATAATTCTATATCCATTGCTTCATTCAGTGTTTCAGATGAGAAATCTGATGCCTAATGAGAAATGATATCAGTCTAATGGTCTTTATTTTATACATTTCATTTTAAAATCTGAGAGTTCATAGGATTTTCTTTTTATCTTTGGATTTGAGAAATTCCACCAATTAATTTTTTCAGGTATCTTGCATAGTGCTTGGTAATAACCCTTTCAGTTTGAAGACTTAAGTCCAGTGAAATTTCCTTCTATCCTTTCTTTAATTTTTGCTTCTCCAATGGTTATGTTTTCTTATAATTCATTATTTTGGTTTATAGCACTATTCAAACTATTATAACCTCTTTTGGCAATCATACAGAATTCAATAAAAATGTTTAATTTTTTAAGGGCCTATCTCAGGTGCAGAGTAATAATGGCTTGGAAACAAGAAAAAGAGGGTTTTGTGAGGAGATGTGGAAAATGCTAGGAGTTAGGGTGAGTTTATAATTAGTTTTGGGCAAATTCCAGGCTTAATCATTCATTAATTGAATGATTAAAGAGTAAAAAACATTACAGTCTTTATGGTACAGTTACACATATTAGATTTTCACAACTTTTTGGAAAAAAACAACAACCAGGTGCTTTACTGACATACTCTTAACTTATCCTTTAAAACAACACAAGAGCTGGGCTTATTATCATGATTCTAATTGTACAGATGTAGCTATTGAGGCTCCTAGGTGTTAAGTGGTTTGCCCAGTATTACCTAGCTAATTAGAATTATAGCAAGGATTTACATAAAAATTAATCTGAAATCATACCTCTCAACCCACTTGAAATATTTAAATAACTTAAATGGTTATTCAATTGAATTTAAGGCAAATGTGTTACTATTTGAATAGTTTTATATGTGATTTGATTGACACCATGTCTTTCAAAAAATCATAAACTATTCATGCTACACTCTTAAAATAAGTAAGGACTCAGTTATTCACACGGTAAAGTCTGGAGCCATAGATAAGACCAAGCAAGACTTAAAGGTTGAAAAACTGAAGTTCATTTGTCAGCCTCAGTGGTTCTATGAACTCCCTGAAATTTAATGCAAATATGATATGCGTGCTTTTCTCTGGGACTCCACTGCTTTCATAAAGGGGTGGGTGGCCCATGTTGGTTAAAATTGTAGGTCTGTTATATGCCTTTCTAAAGCTCTAGTCATATGACAAAGAAATCATTAGGAAAGGGAAACCAATGTGGTTTCACATACAAAAAAGGATTGCAGGCTTACTTCATTTTATTTTGCTTCACAAATGTGACTTTTACAAATTGAAGACAAGCCCTTCCACCAGCAAAATATTATGACCTGCTTTATTATGATACTCATTTTATTGTGATGGTCTGGAACCCAACCCACAATATCTCCGAGGTATTTAATGAATCCACATTTCTTGGGAGAAATTCAGTCAGAAATTCAATTAACACTGATAATCTAAAATGAATACCATTTAAACTAATTATTAGGCCCAGGAGAAGTGGCTTTATGTGGTTACTAGGTGCGTCCTGGACTTTTCCAGCTGTATATAAATGGAGTCATTTGAGCTTAAGTAGGACATTAGAGCTGATTTCCAGTTGCATGAACATTGAAGCTGGAAGACAAGGATGCACCTGAACATGGAGTGACCCTCTTACCAAGGCAAATCCGAGTCGGCCCCCTATGACAGGTCTCAGGTACTGCAGTTGGGGAACTACTCACTCACTCGTGATGATGGGAATTTATCTGCTAAATATAGCCACCGACCTGAGTTTTTATGGTCTTGTATAACATCTAGATACAGGCCTGGTTCAGAGCCATAGGGGTTTGTGTTATCTCGAGGAACTACCTTTCAAAAAGCAAGATTGCAACCCTGAGACCTGGTGAGTTAGCCTTCGCAAAATTGTGTTTGGAGGAGTCAGACTGTCGGAAGCTTCGAGGAGCCTCTCTCTAAGCTCTGCTTTCCATGACTGAGTCTAAACATTCACACCCAGGAGTAGGTTCTTAACAAATTGGTTATAGAACAACTAAGATTTCCAGGCAGAAGAACCTCCAGGTCCTTGTCAAGGAAAGCGTGAAGAGTTGTGAAGAGCTGGAGGCTATACTGGAAGATATATTCCTTCAAGTCCAGGACCGTCAGCCACAGAATGCATTGGACTGTAAAATGAGTGGTATGAAGAAGGAATTTACTCTGAAAGTTTGGGTGTTGAGATATATTTTTCCTCAGCTTTAGAGGAGGAGGATTCTAGAAACTGAGAGTGTCAATAGAGAAGGTAGTCAGAAGAATGTTCCCAAGGAGGCCTCAAAGAGATGCCGCACAGTCAGACCCTCCTAAGACGAGCACAGTTCATTCCGGTGGTTTCAAAATATTGCTTCTTAATTTTTATTGAGTCACAATGGGATTAACTGGCCATATTTTATTCAAAATAAAGTACCATGGAATTGACACAATACCAGTGTAGAGTATGTGGGAAATGCTGCAGCTGCAAGGGAAACCTCAGTGCTCACCTACTGCTGGAGAACCTACTGCTGGAGATATAAATATAATGTGAGCCACATATCTCATCAAAATTTTCTAGTAGCCACATTAAAAAGTAAGAAGAAATGGGTGGTATTAATTTTAATGTATTTTATGTAACCCCACATATCAAAAATAGTTCAATATGTAATCAATATAAGACATATATGTAATACTTTACATTGTTTTTGTATCCTAAATCTTTAAATCCAGCATGTATTTTATCTTTACAGGATATCTCAATTTGGATTCACCACATTATAAGTGCTCAGTAGCCACCTATGGCTATTGGCCTCTATATTGGAAAGCATTGCCAAACCTTTTGTCAGTTGGAAAACTTTAAATGCATAAAAGACTATATTCATTAACACCTCACATAGTTGCACCAACTGATATCAATTAATTAAGTCCAAGTCCTTGTCCTAGCCCCCAAATAATGTTAACAGTGATTTGTAATCTATTATTCTGGATAGAAAATGACATAATACATAGTAAGCACTTGGGAGAATATTTAGCTTACTATAGGTGCTCTGAAATATTAACCATGACTAAAATATAACTATTATTTTATTTAATAAATATCTTTTTTAATTTCTAAGGTTTCTTTCTAGTTCCCAGGAATAAAAAGGGCAGGGTAATTTGTGACAACATGGATGAATCTGGAGGGCATTATGCTAAGTGAAACAAGTTAGACAAAGAAAGACAAATAATATGGTATCACTTACATGTGAAATAAAAAAAATTTAAAAAAAAGGTTGAACTCATAGAAACTAAAAGTACAATGGTGGTTGCCAGGGGCTGGGTGGAGGGTGGAGGAAATGGGAAGAGGTTGGCCAAAGGGCACAAACTTCTAGTTATAAGATGAATAACTTCTGAGGACCTAATGAGCTAACAATGTGGTATTGTATACATGGAATATGCAAAGAGAGTAGATCTTAAGCATTCTCACCAAAAAAATAAAAATAAAACAGTAAATGATGTCAGGGCAATTATTTTACTATATACTCAAATATATTCCAAAAGGATTACATTAAAATATAAAATCGATAAAGAACTAGAAATAAGTATTATCATAAATTGGGAGAATGTGAATTGGCTGGGAACCTGCAATGAGGGAAGGGCCACCGATGCCCCTTTACTCTGCTCCACCTGCTTCCCCTCTGCCTGTCCCACGACTGCGTAGAGGGCACAGCTAGAGGAAGAGAGGCAAGAGCCCTGCTTTACTGACATCACTGCGGTTCTCTGTTGGCTATTGCAGTAAAAAAAAGAAAAAAGATGTGAGGTCATGATGCATTAACTTGATTATGGAATCATTTCACATTGTATAGTACATAGTTGTATTTGTCAGTTTTACCTCAATAAAACTAAAGCTGGAAAAAAAATCCCATTTCATAATTTGAAAAATTAATCATAAGGGAAAAAATTTTGAAAAGGGCAGGCTATTCTTCTTTTTGACATATTACCCTCCTGCCTCTTACAGGAATAAGAAAAAAGTTAAAGTTCTGTTCCCACTCCCATTAACTTTGTTTTAATGGGGGTTATTTGTTCTGATTGGCCTCCTGGCCCGCTGTTTTGAATGGCTGATTCATTTCATATGTCTGGCTATTCATTGTCTGGAATAATAATTCATGGTCTGCTAATATTCATAAATGAAGGGCTTACTTATTCAGTCTGGGTAACTGGTGTGGTCACTGCCTGCAATTACGTGGGCTAATGTTTGCTTTTCCTGATTGATTTCCCCCCAAGTGTGTGTAGTTAGGCCATTGATAAGTCGGTGGTTTGATTTTTCGGCTCTACTCTCTGGGAGCTGTCTGCTTGCAGGCCTCTTCTTGGCTGTGCCGTAGAACGAGCCGCGTGGCTACTGTTCAGTATGGGTGGCAAGTGTTCAGTTATTTAAAAATGGTAGAATTATGTACCTCATTAGAATATTTGCTTTGTCTCTATAACATTTAACATGTTGTAATATTTCCTTACAGGAATACACATGGTTTTATAAAAGCCATTATGAAATTATTACAAATGCAAGCTGTTAAGGAAGGACAAGGAGGGGAGAAGAATATTCAGGATATATATTCTATTAGGTAAGCCTTTTCCCTTTTCTTTAAAATACAGCTTTTTTATTGTGTGAATTGTTAGGTTGTGAACTGAGACATGCTAATCCATTAAGAATAGTTATTTCAGAGATTGAGCAAATGTACTTAAAGCTGGAGTGTTAACTTCCTCACTGAAAATAGGAGACTAGCAAAGGGCCATTACCCAGGGCAAGGTCAGTAGTTAGGAGCACTGATTTACCTTTTCTTTGTTATCTATAGAATGTAACATGGTAGAATTATTTTTAAAAGAAAAATTACACAGCAACAATTATAGTGAAATGCGTTGGATTTTATTGGAGAGTGTGGACAAAGGATGGCATCATACTTATTTGTGAAGGTGACCTTAACCATTGCCTTGAAGGTCCTAGAAAGCCATTTCTTAAGAGGGGAGCTCCCCCTTAGTGAACAGAGGACCCCAGAGGATGCCATGTCTATTGTCTTAGGAACTCTGTTTAGTGATGCATCCAGAATGTGCCTGCTTCAAAAGAATGAGAACATGGGACCATAAACAAGGGGACTGGTTCATGGCAGAAAGTGGCTCACTTGGGCTATGCCAATTCAACAGGGAAAGTAAATCAGATACTTGTGACTCCTCATTGGCTTGAACATACAGCACCTGCAGTTTTGAGCGTTTGACACCACAGCAATCAGAAGCTGTGAGAGAGTCTCTAAAATGTTGAGTGCTGCCTACTTACGTATATTTATAGTGCTTTCCTTTTGAGAATAAGTCAGCAGTGTCTCATGTATTACAGTGTTCTTTCCTGAAATTTTAGTGCTATTTATGATCTCTTTTATTTTTATGAGTACATTATTGAGAGTTTTTTAAGCCAATTTTTTTAACAAGGTCAGATTTCATTTTATGTATTTCTTTCTTAACATGTTTTTAGAATGTCTTCAAACTTATGGAAAGAATGTAGTACAACGAATAGTGAATTCATTAACTTATTTGTTAACACATTAATTTCTTTTTAAAAAGGGGAAGCAAAAAGAAAAGTATTTGCTATTTGAAAATACTGTGGAAACTTGGGGTGTGTAGAATAAAACTTTTCCAAATTGATAAATATGCTTTTCTTTTTTAAACATAGTTGTGCCTCCTGAGACACAAGGTTTCATTTCAGGTTTGTCCTTTACCCATCACCTTGACCAGAATTGAACCTACAGAGTAGATAAGCGGATCTTTATATTTCCAGATGAGTCATAGTAACATCTGTGTTTTCTCTTTTTTTAAAAAGTTCAAACTCTTGGGCCAGTTTCAGGATAGAAAACGATTTCATTTCATTATTGTTCACTGGGTGTTATTTATTTATTTATTTATTTATTTTAAGATAGGAAAGCTATTGAAGTTTTTAATTTGTTTTTTATATAATAGTTTTATGACAAAATCGACCCATTTAAAGCATATAATAGTATATTCATAGAATTATGCAACCATCACCATAATCAATTCTAGGACATTTTCATCATTCCAAAAAGAAGCCCTGGCTGGTGTTGCTCAGTGGTTGATTGTCCTCCCATGCCCCCAGGGGTCACCAGTTCGATTCCTGGTCAGGGCACATGCCTGAGTTGTGGGCTTCACCCCTAGGAAGGGGTGTGCAGGAGGCAGCGGTTTTCTCTCATCAGTGTTTTTCCCTCGCTCTCCCATTCTCTCTCTCTCTCTCTCAAATCAATAAAAACATATTTAAAAAAAGAGAAATACCTCACCCATTGGCTGTTGCTCCATATTTCCCTCCACCCAGTGGGGTGTTTTTAATTTAATGGTTCTCAACCGTGCTGCTCATTAGAACCAGCTGGGTGTGAAACACACCAAACATCAAATGCCGCAGACCAGCTGAATCAGAGCCTGCCATGAGGCCGAGGCATTCGTGGTTTTAAAAAGACCAGGCGATTCTGATTCACAGTGAGTATGAGATCTCTTTAATGCGCATTCTCATCACCGAGGGCCTTGTGGAATGGCAGATTCTCTCGTTAGGGCTGGGACAGGCTCCAGATTCTTCTCTGACGGGCTCCCAGGTGCTGCTGATGCTGCCGGTTCCCCACCACACTATAAGCAGCAGAGCTACGAGCAGCATCAGAGGTACCTGGGGGCTTGTTGCGAGTGCAGGATCTCGGACCCCCTGAATCAGAGCCCACATTCTGGTAAGATTTTTCAGGTAATTTAGAGGCACCGTAAAGTTTAAGAAGCCTGGTTTAGGTGATGGTAAAGGGAAATTTTCTATCATGCAGAAAAGTAGAGTTGCTCTCGTTTTCATACCGATTGTCCTGTTTTCCAGTGCTAGACCTTCAGTCACCTGTAATGTTTCACTTGTTTTTCTGTTTATAATGTATGTTCTCCTGTAGTTGGTTCTTCTAACTGCAGTCTTGTTTTCAAAAGATAATAGGTGCTAGGTGTGGATAGGGAGCCTAGTTTGAGGAACTGAAGGGTTTGTTTTTAGTTTGGTGGCACATTAAGTGGTCCAGAATCAATCACCTGAGTTGGCATAATCCAGTAATATTTATGGAGAGCCCTTATGTGAATGGCTGTTTGGCACAATAAATCAGTAGAGTGTAATCGAGTGTGTAAGAGCCTTAAGTTCCTCCAGGGGGGATTGTGGATGGCGGGAACAGAGGAGAGGTGAGCCTGAAGAGCAGATTCCCCTCAAGAGAGCTATGATTACCTGAGTCAAGCATAAAATCGTCATGCTGTTTTAGACGTATTGCCACACGTTGGCTAGCAATATCACCCAGCCTTGGAGAGGCAATTGATGAGCCGTGTTTGAAAGCATAAAAAGGATATGAGAAGCTTAGTGGTGTTCCCTGGTTGTGCTGCAGGATTAATTTAAAATGGAAGGAGTATGAAACATAATTGTAAGCTTTCTGGGCGTGAAACTAATCTGTCCTTTTAATGGTACTAAGGACTCTGCTAGTTAACAGTTGGGGGTTAAGTATTTCTCACTTTTTGTCTTAAGAGCTAACTCGAATTGTAGTAAAATAGAAGATGTGGTCATTTTACGGGAATCTCTGCTGAATTGCACAACTCATGCCAGTATGGGAGTGGAGAGGACCCAAAATGTTAGCCAAAGACTTCCTTGGTTCCTGTGAATTTCCTGAAGGAGCTCTAGAGAGGGCTTTCTCTTTGTTGAACCTGGACCTCAGTGGTTCTCAAACTCCCTGTGTATAAGAATCATCTGGGGAGCTTGTTAAAGGTACAGCTTCTCAAGCCCACTTGCCGGAGATTCTTATTTACTTAGTAGGTTTTGTGTGAGATTCAGAATTAGCATGTTTGTCCTGCTGGTCAGTGATATGGATATAGGTCACCTGTGGATCACACTTGAGAATACTGCTTGAGCTTCTGGGAGCTTAATGGTGCCACATTATGAGCTGCAAGGAACCCCTTGGGGTACACTAAAGGGTGGTCCTTGAATGGTTTAATCATGTCTCCTTGCCTGTTTCGTATTTGGGAGGCAAAATGTCTGTATGTTCCTAAGCCCCAAGGCACCAAGTTCATTGTATCATGGACAATAAAGAGGCCAAGAGTAGAACCAAAGTATAATTCTAAAGGAAATGCATCCAGTGAGAGCAAGCCAAGTGAGAGAATGTAAGAGATTTAAATCTCATTGCTCCGTTCAATGAAATAATGCCATGGCCCAAACACATTAGTGCTCTTTCTGGTCAAGTGGTAGACAGTTGTGGGAACAGGAGGCGAAGAGAGCCCTCATTAACCTCCTGAAAACCACCACTGGTTTTTAGTGTTTACAGTGCATAAGCAGCTCATCTTCAGAGTGTTTGATATGTGTGTCTGGGACATGCCTGCAAATCTGCATTTTAATAAGACTTGGATGTACAGGTGGTCTACTGACCATGCTTTGAGATGCACTGGCTCAGGGTGTATGTACCTAATAAAGTTCATGTTGCTTAACTGGACCCTTCTATAGTTTTATGGCTTGAGCAAGATTAAATGGGAATATTTGAGTAGGGTTGCGACTCTCATTGCCTTTCAGGATGGGGGTAATTGAAAGAACAATGTAGTACATTTGACTGCTGTGATTAAATGAAGAGCTATGCCAAATATAAAAATCTTAGGCCGTGAGTCTCATCCCTTAGCACATTAGAGCTGTCAGAGGAACTTTGAAATATACAGGTGCCTGGGCTCCACCTGGAATGACTGGAGTGGCAGCCTCAAGCATTGGTATTTTTTTCAAAGCTTCCTAGGTGGTGTCTGATGCTTTTGTAGAGTTGAGAACTGCTGGCCAGTTGCTGTAGCGAGGAAATGGGGGTTCATTGTTGCCAGGCCTTCAGATCTTTCAGGATTAATAACCTTTTATATGAAGTCTCCTGACTTGTAAATGTTGGGAAACAATTTAGATTTTTAAAAATACAGAGTAGGCAGTAAGTTTGTGACTTCTGGTTTAGGTACTTAACTATTTTCAGAAACTTTAGGAGCCTTTTCTAGCTGTGAACAATTTTTATATTACTTTTTCAAAGAATTGCTTCTTAGACATCCTTTAGTTCATGCTTATTTTCTTTCTACTTGTGTTTGGTCTGAATTTTCTTTTAGTTAGCCTGGACTCCATTTTTCTGTAGCACACGTATATTTACCTAAGTTAATTAAGCATTTGTGAATATTGACCATACAGGAAGTGCAGCAGAGAACTGATATTTGGCTGGTGTTTTGGTTGCAAGGAAGAATAAACTAAAATTTTATTATTTATAAATTATTAGAGGCTCATTTTCTCGTTTGCTTTGTAAAGTGCCATTTTTCACCCTGAAATTTTATCATGTGCTTTTGCTTTTAATTTTTCCTTTGCATATTCATATTATGGCAGTCTCCTTAAGATCTCTCTCCCCTCAGCTGAAGTGAGGAAATAGCTGTGAATTCATGAGCAGTAACTGCTTGTTCCAGAACTCGTGCATCATTCTGATGTGCCAGACATTGGCTGACATGCACAAATATCAAATGTTATTTGTGGAAAGGTTTGGTCTGATCCTCATCAAGCTGTACTTTCTGAAGT